CGCGCCGGCGCCTCACCTTAATGATGAGGCTGATGTCTGTGGTCAGGGCCTGCACCCGGTGGAAGCTGGCAATGAGGGTGATGGGGAGGAAGCCGCCCGAGTCCATCTTGCGCCGCAGGAAGAAGTCCCGCTCCAGGTTGTCCACACTGAAGTAGTACTCGCTGCGAAGGCAACAGGGGGGAGGTCAGACACATGCGCGGCCCCCATCCCCACGCTGGCTGGGAGCAGAGGACCCAAGCTGGGACTTACATCTGGCGCTTGATGTAGTCCTTGAGCAGCTCCTGGTCCACGCTGTACAGCTCGGTGCTGCTGATGTTGTCAAAGTAGTAGGTGATGTTACTGGTGTACTTCTGGGTGCGCGAGCCGTCTGAGCCATCGAATTTCCGGTAGCCGTATTGGTAGTCGAAGTGTGCTGCGGGGACCCAGCCCAGAGCAACCGTTTGGTCTTGGGGACCCACCGGGGCTGCCTGCCGCGACTGGGCCCTGCTCCCCGGCCCCCACCCCCACCCCCGCCTGCCAACAGGCCGTACGTACAGCGAGTACCTCCTCTGCCCCGGCCCCTGCCGCGGCCCCGGCCACGGCCTCTTCCCCGGAAAGCTCCTCGCACGGCGCCGCCCTCGCTCTTCACACTGGAGGTGTCGTCGTGGTCGGTCCAGTTCCGCTCATGTTTGTTGTCGGGGTGCCAGCCTGCGGGGGCACGGGACGGGGGACGTCAGTGGCCTCAGCCGTACGAGGAGGCCCGGCGCTGCAAGCTGGCTGGCAGAGGCCGCGGTTGTGGGACCCCTGCTCTCAGGCCTCTTGCGAGGCCCAGGCTGCTCGTGACCGCAGCCAGGCCCCGAGCACCTGGCACGTCCGCACCCTCCCCTGCTCCGAGCTGTGCCCAGAGGAGCCTTTGCATTGGAGAGGAGCAGGGAAAAGGCTCACAGAAACCAGCACCAACACTGCCTCCTGGGAGCTTCCCCTTGGAGCTTGGGAAGGAGTGCCCCTCACCACGGCATCTGGGCCGCTCAGGCAAAGGCTTGTTCTGCCACCCACCTTTCAGCTCGCCGCGGTTGTTGGAGGGGTGTCGGTGCTGCTCGTTCTGCCGGTTGTTGCGGGAGGCGGTCTTTTCCCTCGACACATCCGACTTCATGTCGATCTGCAGCGGGACCCACCTGTGCTTGTTGCCTGTAACAGGGGCAGGGGCAGCGTGACGCGTGGGCCTGGGGCACTACCCTCGCTGCATCACCCAGAGATAACAACCCCCGCGCTAGCCTACAAAGCACCCAGGCTGCTGGCATCCACCTTTGTGGGGCCACCACTGGCCTAGAAGCGCATGTCCAAGACATGACCACGGCCCCATTGCCAGCGGGATGCGCAGGGGCACCAGCAAGCCTGACTGGCACCGGGGAACCCCCGTCCTTACCCTTCTTCTTCTGGCCCGCCTTCTGGTTGTCGTCGTCACCGTTCTTCTCCTCCCCGGACTCGTCCGATCGGGCCTTCAGGTTCTCCTTGCCGTCGCTTCCGTCCCCCTTCTCCTGCTCCTTCATGTCCTTCTTGATTGGCAGCTTCCGCAGGGGCTGCGGCTTGTGCGGCTGCGGGGCGGACAAGACCGGCCGGTTGGCGCGGGAGTGGGCACGGACGGGAGGACCACGCAGCCCAGCCTGGCTGCACGGAGCTCCCTCCGCAGCCCCAGGGGTAGGCAGGAGGGCAACGAACTGCAGCTGAGGACCCTGTCCCAGCACTACTCGCTTGCAGACAGTTCACCTGACCGAGGTTTTGCCAGGGGCCAGGCTCCGCGGTGGCACCCAGGCTCCTACCCTGCTAGCAGCAACCTGGGGGCATCTCAGCCCTGCCCACAGGGGAGCTGCTGAGAGCGAGAGGGTCAGCACTGGGAATGGGAGAGAGGAACATATTCTCCCCAGGGCCGTGACAGATGGCAGCTCTCAGAGCCGGGAGGGAGACGGGAAACAAAAGGGCCCTTGCCTGGCCCTGACCCCAGGTCACTGCCCCCAGGAGCCACGGGCTGACCAGGTCCTGCCATTGCCACAGGTCGGAGCGGGCTCCAGCTTCTGTCCCAAAATAGCAGCACCCAGCGAGGGCGCTCAGCCTGCAAGCAGCCGAAAAAGGCAATGCTCCACGCCCGGTGGGCTATTCCTGGCTGCCTCCTGAGCCCTCGGCGCCCCAAAGAGCTGCGCCCAGCTGCAGCAACCAGCTCTGTGCTGGGCCCCACGCCTGCGAGGATCGAGGCATCACGCTCATCTCACGGCTGCCCAGGGGTCCTGCTGATGGGGGAGGGACAATCTGCTCTGCTCTTGGGGCGATCCTGCCAAGGGCTGGGTGCGAGGGAGCTGTGACCGGTGCCAGCCCCAGAGGGAGAACCAGGACCGGGGCCCGGGGCAATGGGGGAGCTGAGGATGCTGCAGTTTTAACCACTCCAGACCACCAGGAAAGACAGGCCCTGTTGCCACCCGATCCTGCGAGGAGCCAGGCAGCTGAGGACAGAAGATGGTTGTTACCTGGGGACAGAGGGCTGCAATCGGGCAGGGGAGAGGCAAAGGGGAGACGCTGGTGCCCGCACAGGCCTGTGACAGGCAGCTTGTCCCTCCCTATGCTCAGGGGATCTGGGGGGAACCGGGGCCCAACATCAATCTGACGGGGTTGGCAGATCATGCTGGGGCAGCAGCCGCTTTGCAGGGGCAGGAGATGGCAGTTCCCACTGGGGGCTGGTGCAAGACAAGGAACAATCCAGGCCTGGTCTCCCTTGCGCTGCATACAAGCCCCCAGAGGTTTCACACCCAACAGGTAAAGATGTCAATGGCCGAGCAAGGCTGCCCGGTGACACTGGAGGCCAGGAGTGCTTGGCTCTTCCCGTGGCAGAGATTTGCTTCCAGGCATCCCCGCAGCACGGATGTGACGCCGGGCCACCCATGCAGGTCTGCATGCAGCCCCTTGGCTACTCCAAGCTCCACTGGATGGCAGCAGCATGGCACAGCCAGGCCACAGCACCCTACCCCAGACCTGGGATCGGGTCTATTTCTTGCTGCTGCCCCCCAAAGAAGGGGAAAGACTGAGCCGTGCCCTGAATGGATGCACTTTGCAAGAAAAGAAGCTACATTAGACAGAGCACTCCTCCTCCTTCCCCACAGCCTGGAGGCCCAGCCACCCGCTAGCAAGAGGCCACGAAGGAAGGGACCTAGGACAACCTCCGAAGGTAGCGCTTGGGTAGCAATTGCACCACGGAGCAAGGCTTCTGACTGCAGCGCTCTGGGAACCAGGTGAAGGGGGCGCATCCTGTGTAGGCGAGGAGGTGACACTGCCAGGACACATCCAAGATCGGGAGAGGGGTTTATGGGGGTGGAAAGGGAAAAGCAAGGGAAGCAAAGGGGCGCTGGAAATAGCACAGGGGAAGACCTGCTACAGGAGGAAACAGGGTCAAGTTAGTGTGGGCACAAGGCAGCCTGATGCACAGTCAGGAGGTGCGCGTCCCAGCACCCCCCACACTGGGCAGCTGGGGCCTAATCCAGCAAGGTTTCTCTCAGGTGCTCTGCCTCTGAGGAGGTGCGGGGGGTTGGGGGGGGTG